GCGGACCTCTGTGTGTGTATATGTAGGGTAGGTGTGTGGGTGTGAGGATAAAGCTGTTTTACATTAAACTAAACTAAATCGTATCATTTCTATGATCCATAGTCACACATACAACACCCCTCATACCCAAAACCACCACAAACCCCCTCCCTCTCTGCATCCACATCTACTAGCCACCCACCCCATCACTCACCCTACCCTCCAACCCACGACAAACGCCCCAACATACCCTATCACTACCAGACCGCAGCCCAAACGGGATGTGCGATACACCCCCTCGGCCTGGTGGTCCAGGGGGTGCTCGATATAGAGAGTGTATATAAACTAGCTATCTTGTTAGAATGCAAATCATATATCTACTTTATACATAAAGCAGAGTAGAAAATACAAGCGCAGATAAGCGTACCCATTCGGCACCATCGACAGATAGCTTGCAACGCATACAGTCCACCGCATACAACCCACACAACGCATAACCCACCACCATGATGAACCTAAGCAAAGCATATCAAAAATAGCATGGCACAGCATCACAAGCATATCGATTGAAAACATGGCAAATACATGGAAGAAATATAATTCCATAACCCCACCGACACAAAAACTCCAGACTCGACATCATACGCATCGTACTAGTAGCGCTATTTATACACGGGCACACCACTGCTCACCAGATAATAGGCAAAAAGCAGCAAAAAGCAGCAAAGCCAAACCGGCAGAAAATCGGAATTTGGGAGTCAGAGATTGATATTCCACCTCTGGTATCCGAGACAAACCCATGTTCGTCTCAGACTAAGACTCATGCCGATACTGATACTGATGCTGATACTCATGTCCATATCCCCGCCATCCATCCATCGCTCACTGTCTCGCTGCCTCCCTCCCTTCACCCTAAAAGAACCCCCAGAAGAACCCTCTCAGAAAACCAGGGGTGGGGGAAAACATAGGATGTGGGTGGTGGTGTGCAAAAAAAACACACTATCATCGCCTTGGAAAGAAAACAGAAAACTCCAATCATGCATGCGAAACCCCACACAAGGGGAATGGAAGAAAAAAAAAGGTAAAAGAAAAGGGGGCCATGATTCATTCGCAAGAAAAGAATGAAGACCATAGTCGCCATGTCATCCTGCTGATACCGCAATGCACCCCTCCACACGCAAACACACAAAAACACCCACCCATTACGCCCTCACAGCACACATGCCCCAACACCGAAAAACCACCTAGCACACCACACCTCTCTCCACCTCCACCCTACCAGAAACTACACCACCCAATATAATGCTGACACAGATTCTCCAGATTCGTCGCCTCCTGAATCAGGCGATCGACCTGTGCATTGCAATCCAGTTCCTCGCCGGGGCGAAAGTCCTTGCCCGTCAGCTTCTCCTTGACGCGACTGAGGACCTGCAGGGCGCGGGCATTCTGGACCTCCTTGGCCTCTTGGTCATTGTTGTTGTTGGCCGCGTTGTTGTGGTGGGCCGGGGGCGCGATGCTGGATCGGTGACGGGGGCGGCCGACGAGGGAGCTGAGTTCGGCGGCGTCGCCCATGATGGATTGCCGGCGTTCAGACGGGTAGTTTGGTTCGGGGGGGGATTCGCCGCGGTGGCCGAGACGCCAGGTTAGGAGGGGGTCGTGGATGAACTGGAGGTTGTGTTAGCGGGTGGACTACTTGGGCGGGCTTTTGTCTTGTTCATGGGGCATTTGTGGAGAGGAATGGACGACTTACAGCTTCCAACACCGCCATGACACTCTCCTTGTTACTCCGCAATACCCGCATGACATGCTCACACGTCGTCCGATAACTTCCCTCAATGTTACTAACTTCCATTGCATACGTCAACATGCGCGTCAGACGGAACGGCACACGCTCGGGATACTTTTCGCGATGCATGGCCACCTCGAAACAGTCGCCGAAATCAATGTGAATGATCTTGCCCGTCACGCCTAATACGATGCGAGCTACATCTG